TTTTTTTTTTTTTTTTGAGAAATAAGAATATTACAGTCTTTCATAAGAATGTTATATATACAATATGTATATACGTGGATTTTAATAGTTGACAAATTCAGACCTTTCGACGATTTTATTAAAAACCCGGAAGATGCTGAAAATTGTGAGTGATCCTAATTTGTAATAATTATATTACATTTATGTAACTAATTACAATTGAAATATACATAAATATGTACAAAGTATTACGTATAAAATATTATTCAATTGCTGAAACTTCAACATGCTCCAAATTTTCGATAGACTCTATGCAGTTTGTTTCGAGAACGTGCGTTAACATCTCATCTCAGACGGTGAGTTCAAGCCGAGTCGCGGATAGAACGTGTTAGGTGAACGTAGCTATTACGTAAAATTACTGGACTCGTTGTAGATTACAGGAATGTGCAATAGGCGTGAATGGTAAATCTATTTTATTAGTGATACTATATGGAAGCAACTATATTGCATTTGTAGCCATACGAAGGAACACTGACAATCGTATTTTTCGAATAAAAAAATGGTTCAGGCAAAGAAATGATCTCTAAAGGTTGAGTTGATACGTTCAGGATGTCCATCTGTTGACAGCGTAGAGTGAAATTCTATTTCAATCTAAATTATGCATTCATAAAATTCTTCTTGCAAAACATTTTCGTGATATTATACATATTTTATAAGATACGATACGTGTTATATTCGTGTGATAGATATTTAATTTTAAAAACTATTTATTCAACAATAATTATATTTATTAAATTATTAAAATGTTAATTATATATGTCAAAATTGTATTAATTATAATGATAATTCTGACAGCCATCATGCGTGCGTTTAAACCAACGAGTTCTAATGTGATGAATCTGTGATAAAAAAAAAAAGAGACTTTGCTCATTTGGTTTCTATAAAAGTTCGATGTGAGGGGAATTTTGTTTTAAAAATCCGCGCAAACTTTTTCCAATACCTAGCAATTGAAATCTGTTGAATTTTTGAATAAAAATTTGTGGCGCAATCTATCGAATCTACATTTTTCAGAAAACATTTTGTGTATTGAAAAATTCATTTCATCAGGCTGGAACGAATCATAGAAGAACGAACCGACGAATACAATCGAAATTTAAATAAAAAATCTGTCGTGTAATATAGTCGATTTATGTTTTTAAAATATTCTGTCTACTGAAAAATTTGTTTCATCTAAGAAAAATTTGTTTCACTAGGAAAGCTGGAATTCTAGACCAAAATATATACTCGATCTACGTTCTCGAAATATTCTGTACACTGAAAAATTCGTATCACTTGATCAGACAAACGAGCTCCAAAGAAATTCGAGGAAATCTAACCGAACGAAACAACGATAGATTTCTCTTTCACGCTTAACCTTTTGTCTCTTCTCAGACACCGATTAGCTGTGTTAAACGCAGACTGTGAGACGAGAATACTCGTCACGCGAGGATACGCCAGAACAGAGAACAAAGCATCACGTCATTGGAATTTTTTTCTTGAAGAAAGTTCCTATTCTAATGACGTTCTCTTTCGAAACGTGTCCTTGAAACCGGTTCTCCTCGCCGTGAACCGCGGCATTTTTCGCGAGGATAACAGGATTCTCGATCGCGATCATCTATCAACGTCCTCGTGAAAACATCCGTCTCCGTTTCAACCGTGTATCTCGTACAAGTTTCTATCCGATCTTTCTGTAAATCCTTAAAAATCAAAACCTGAGAAACATAGTTGATGAAAAAATTTCAAGCACTGAGAATTGGTTGTAAGAGCATTGTTCAAGTTCGAGTATGATGATTCCTTGAAAGCACAAAATATCAGATGTCGCAGATGAAATGGCCAAATTTTTAATAAATATTTCAGTTCATAGCTTTCTTGGAAATAATTTCGTCTGACTAGATTCGAATATTGAAAAACAATGTCGTAATTAAATTACGAATACTCTGCATGTTTTACGTAGATATTACTACATACGTATATTAGTTCACTTATTTTATTTTCACTTACTACACATATACATATATTATTTCACTTATTATGCGCATTCTGTGCGAGTTTGTAGTTTAAAATTTCTTACAAATCTTGAAAAA